GCCAATCAGAATGCGGTCCTAGCTAGGCTCCTTATACTACTCTCACACGAAATAAATAGCTGCTAGCAAAAAGCTAAAGGAAATAAATAAATCAATGTATTGTATTGTATCAGCAATATGGTTATTTTTCTGCTAACTGTTGTTGCTGAAACGCATATAAAAAAATCCGATGATAATCAGCATGAACAAAATTTTGCTGGCTTACTGTGACCTCTTAGCTTCGCACCTAGGAAATATTGATCCTTAGTTAGTGCCTGACGCCGTGACGTCAGGCAAATATAAGATCTTTTAAAATATGTTTTTACCTTTTGAACTTAAAGTTTGAACCACTTTAAAAACTTAAACCTTAGTCATAACTTTTGAACAGTTAGTACTAGGCTTTTATTTTCAGGGGTTTAATTATTCCTTGTGACAAAACTTTTCTTTAGATACCAACAATTTTGACCTTCTGACCTTGACCTTGGAGTTAATTTGACTTGCATTTGCGAAACTTCAAACCTTCGCTATAAGCTGACATACAGGGGCATCAGTGTTTAACAAGCACACCTTGTTTGTTTATGTCCCCGTAATCGAAGACATTTTACCATGTACGTCCGTTTGTCTGTTCAATCCACAAAAACTTTAACCCTGTCCATAGTTTTGGATTAGTTGGAGCTATGACTCTCATATTTTCAGATGTATTCCTTGTGACAAGACCTGTCTTTGAGACCAACATATTTTACCTCTTGACCTTGAAGTTTGTCCTTCTTTTGCAAAAATTACCAAACACAGTGACGTAGTGATGATCCATCGTTTTTGAAAGGGGGAGCAGACCGAGAAAGAAATTTATTTCAACTCACCTGGTGAAAAAAAAGGAAAATTGACCAGAGTAAACTCGAAAAACTAATATGGTAAGGGGGGTCCAACTTAGTTCAGTACAAAATTATTTAGTAAAACTGTTAAACACCACATTACCTTTCTATTAGTTACTACTTATTTAGTTACCTTTATTTAACAATACTGTGCAGCCAAAAGGACCAACCGAACTTTCATTGTGAACATTTCTTGAACAGCCCCCCACCCCCACCCCAACACTTTGATGCTACGGGCCTTCAGTAAAGTTAGTGCTAGGTCTTTCAGACTTCACATACTAACTGGTATGTGTATTGCGTTCATTGTAACAATACCTTTGGTGGATATCAATATTTGTTTATCTTTTGACCTTTATCTTATAGTTCGACCTTGTTTTTAGCTCTACTGGTCAGAGACCAGATGAGCTTATGAGATAGTAATGCGTCCGTCGTCCGTCCGTCTGTCTGTCTGTAAACAATTTTTTTAAATGCCACTCCTCCTACAGTTTTGGTCTGATTTCAATATATAAACTTGACACACGAGTAGGCTACACTAAGATAGATATTTCTGTATATCGGTTTTGATTTCTATGAACAGTGTTGTCGTGGTTACTAAAAATACAAATATCTGTGAAATACTTTCAAAATGCTACTCTTACAGTTTTGGTCTGATTTCAATATAACGTTGCACACAAGTAGACTATACTAAGATACATAATTCTTTGTATTGGTTTTCAGTTTTGATGAACGATGTTGCCATTGTTACTAAAAACAGAAATTCATGTGAAATACTTTCAAAATGCTACTCCTCTTACAGTTTTAGTCTGATTTCAATATAACTTGGCACACAAGTAGACTACACTACGATACAACATGTAATTCTCTTTATAGGTTTTTTATTTCGATGGAGAGTATTGCCGTGGTTGCTAAAAAATAGAAAATTCTGTGAAATACCGGTATTTTCAAAAGAACTTGAACTACATTGAGAGACATAAGATAAAATTTGTTGCATGAAAAGATTTCAATATCAAGATTCATTTTGAGACTTTTTGAATTAAATTATAAATTAAAGAGTTATCCTTCCTGGCTGAGGATCGGATATCCTTAAGAAGCTTTTAGCATGACCATAACTTTTGAATGATTACTGGCTGCTTGGACTTTTATATTTCACAGGTACACTCATTGAGATAAGTCATTTCTTTTCGTTTTTCCCAACAATTTTCATCTCTTGACCTTTACAGTTTACTTGCATTTCAAAGGGAAACAAGCAATATCATTTATACCTAGTAAGCAATGAGCAATTGGCGGTTGCCTTTTAACGTTAGTTTTTTTTCTTTCCCTTGTCAAAGAATTTTTGGTAGTGCCCCTCCAACTGAAATTGTATGGCTGTACCCGCGAACTGAAATTGCTTCCTCCGCGGGCCCGCTCTTGAGCAAATGTCAATTATATTGATAGACGGGGAATGTAAGTGAAAAGTCTTCATTAAAATATTTACCAGCAAGGTATAGCTGTACGTTGTTCATCGCCAGCTTGATCCTCGGGCATGACTGTGATGCATCCATACAAGTCTGTTAACCATCCACTTGCCTTCAACTTGCCTAATTTTCATCTTTAAGAGTTGTGTTTGGACGAAATGGAGATTTGTCGAAACATGCACTTTTTTCACGCAATGCAAGAAGTACTTGACATTTTATGTTCTTTAAGTATTCAAATGAATTAACACATATACCGGTATGTTAATTTAAGGACAGCGAATGCCACCACAGTTTTAAAAAATATCTTGAAAATTATAATTAAATGATAACAGGCTAATTCAGAGAATTTGTGTCCCCCGCTGAAGGAAAAAAAGAAGGATGCGCGGATTTTTTTTTTTTTGGGGGGGGGGAGGAGGGCACTTAAGAAGGATGGACGAGGCCATACGGATCGAGTTATGTTTTAAAAGGCTCCTTGAGATATCACTCGGAACTGAAAGTTTTACACACACATTCTCACAGAATGTAAGCATTTAGGTCTGTTGGGGGGGGGGGGGGGGTCTTAGGCTATTTGGGAGGTGTGTTATAACATGTCATTGCAAGAGCTCTCAGGCTTCTCGAGATATATAGTGACAAGACTCTTCTTTGGGGATACTAACAAGTTTGACCTTTTGACCTCCGAGTTTGACTTGCATTTGAGAAACTTCAACCCTGGTCATACGGGTGTATCAGTGTTTCACAAACACATCTTGTTTTATATAACATTGATTCCTTTCTTCAATGTATATTTCTAGTTTTAGACCCCTCCCTTTGATGTTAAGAAATGCTTTGGCCCGTGAAATCTTTTTGTTTTCTGTAATTCAAAACTTCGTTCTTCTTAACTTTTGAACTGTCAGGGCTAGAGCTTTCGTACTTCTCATATAATCCTTGTAATAAGACCTGTCATTGGATACCAATAACTTTTACCCTTTGATCTTGGTCTTGGGGTTTGACCTACTTTTAAAAACCTTGGTCATAACTTTTGAACGTAAAGGACTAGGGCTTTCATAAACTTCCCATATATAATCTATGTGACAAAGACTTTCTTTAGAAACAAACAACCTTGACCACGGAGTTTGACCTACCTTAAAAACTTTAACCTTTGCCATAACTTTTGAACAGGTAGTGCTAGGATTTTATATTCCACATTTTTGTATTTTTTATGAGGGGACCTTACTTTAAGTGTCAACATGTTTGCTTTGCATTGGAGAAAATTTAACCATGTTGCCATACGGGGGCATCAGTGTTTCAATGTCGTCGTCTTTTTTTCACGATTTTGATATTTTACGTGCCAGGAATTAAAATTGGCACGTAAAATATCAAAATTGTGAAAAAGCCCTGGAAAACGTCAAATATTTCGGACTACAAGGAAATATACATGGGAAGATGGATATCAATTAAGACCAAATACTTTTTCCTCCTATTCATTTCCTCCTCACCTTCATCGTTTAGCAATTTTTGAATTTGCCGATTTTATTATTATTGTAAAATTATTGCTATCATGGGCATTATTCAAGCACCTGTTTAAAGATAACAAACCAGGCAATATCATCTATGAGCAGTGACCGTGAGTTGTAAATAACTGGCCATCTTATGTAGAATATTATAAATAGTGGACTATACTTTAGTATAAACTTTAATGGACTATGGTTAACTAATTGAAAATATAGATAGATGTATATATATTAATTTATGACAATTGAATTGACAAGGAAGTTATATCCTTAACAATTAAGGCGAAGTTTAAAATACTTAATGAAAAATTCTGTATCACTATCTCGTTTAAGGACTTCCTCTAAGTATCCACGCCGAACACTCTCGGAAACGTCCTCTTTTAATGTATCAAACATGCAGAGAGTTGTAATGAATTATTTAGTATCCGTATCCTGTAAATCACAGATTAAATCATTGAGATAAAAACTACTTCTTCAATGATGTTTGTTCGGCCGGAAAGGGGAAGAATTTTAAAGTTTATAATACTCGTACCGGGTTCTTTGTTTAGCCCCAGTTTTAGAGAATCTGGATGCAGACATAGTGTCAGGTTGCTTTCTGGAAACTTGTCCTCTTTAAAAAGGTAAACAATAACATAAAATGATTAATATTTTCTTGGAAACATTATATTCATTGAACGATAATGACTTATAATAATTGTTAAGTATGTATGACAATGCTGACCTCGAAGGTGTTCAATATGGAAATATATAAATACATAGGTACATTTGTACCAATTTTTTTTAGCTTGTGAGTTGTTGTGGTTTAGGTTGTGAGTACTTAAATTAAATTGTTGTGTCTTCATATTTTTGATTTAATGCAAAATATCTATGTAATCTAAAATTAATCGAAAAAAATCAGCTAAGATGAGTAAATAAATCGGTTGAAATCAACCACTTTCGTTTGTCATTAATTAAAAGGCAGTATGCAGTACCCCAGATCAATTAAGCTTGAAAAAAGCATTCTTATTTTTCATCATTTGCTTCTTTGTTTGCCAAGTTTAATAGCATTTATAAAAATGAGTTTGTTTAGTTTTCTTAAAATTTACAATGACTTTGTGATAATGAGTCCATTTTTTAAGTACCCTTTAAAATATGAATTCCGGAAATTCGTACCAAACGAGATTTTACTTTTATATGTGTCATGCCACTTCCACAACATGTAAACAGGAAATGTTGAACAAATGTTTTTACGTTATCATGTTCCTTTTTAAAAGGGAACAGGATGACACTGTAAACAGAGGAAATGATTGGGCAATTGGTGTCAAGAATGGCGTATGTTGTGCATTGTTTTATAGAATTTTGAGTCGATACACTAAACAATTAACTTCCTTTTAAGACGTTTGGTTGCTGGATTACCATGCATAAAACATCTTTCTGAAGTTTAAAAGTGGGGAATTCCCATTTGGAAAAATTCATGTCACAGAAATAATATCCTGAATTGTGTATGTTGACATAGTGGATGTACTGTCGTGTCTTGTGAAAATTAGATAAAGGAGTTACCATCTGATCTCACATATGTCCAAGTGTTAATGCACCTGAGCTCTTCATGTGGTTCACATGCCACTGGGTTCACAGAAACATGTTTGGCTTTTGTATTGTTGCCAAGAACTGTATAACACTCATTTGGATGCAGAAGCAGTGATAAGGTTTCTGCTAGTTGACTTTGTACTGTTTATTTATAAATGCTTCAACGGAGCAGAGCATTCGTGATAAAAGGTGATCACATTTATATTATACCATGTATACAGTGGAATAATCATTGTTTGTGGGGGAATAAAGTTTGTGGACATCGAGGGGAATTTACATGCCCATAAAACTTCATTTTGTGTATGTACATTGATTCATGAAATCTACTGTGTAAAAGGCAACCCATGAAATTACATCCCCAAGAACAAGCAAAACGTTGCCCACAAACATGGACCCATGAATTAGAATGATTCCACACTTCTTCTCAAAAGAGAATAAGTGACTTAAAAATATCTACAATGGATGTTAAACAATAAATTTATATTTTTTTTTTTATTACAGAGTGAAAATGTTACCAGTAGTTTGATAACCTGTTGGGAGAGTATATTCAGAGCTGGACATAATCAGCAGTAAATTAATCCTTAGGAAGGAAGCAATGAATTCCATCTTCAGAGTTGTGTTTCCATTACTTCTTTTCACTGTTGTCCCGGTGTGGCCTTGTTTCAGATCATGCTGCAACTGTGGAAGTGAGTTAAATTATTAATTAGGTGTAGACAGGTTAATGACAATATATAAACAATATTGTAGATGTAAGGGTATGGCTAAAACCTATTGTGATATTTCATGATACTTTGGGGCTGTATCATGATACATGTACATATTGTAGATCACTTTATTTTCGCGACACCTTATTTTCGCGAGATAGTCATTGACTCTTTATTAGCGAGACAAAATTTTCACGAATTGTGGTCATTGCTGTATATAATCTTAAGGAATTCTATTATACGCGAGAATGAAAATTTCGCGAGCATACCGTCTCGTGTAATTACGTGAAAATAAAGTTCTCGCGAAGAAAAAGTGATTTACAGTATATCATAATGATATTTCATTTTGCTGATTTATAATGCAATATGCATGTCTGTAAATTCCTGTTATAATGGGAAAGGATGAACATCATTTTTTTAATCAAGTTCACAAATGTTTAACAATTATTTATTCAATAAAAAAGTCTAGTAAATGAAAAAATAAAAAAGACTTCATAAGAAAGTAAAGGAAATCATTTGTATAAGGTAAATCTAAAGATAAATAACAAGTATTGTTTAAAATGTTCCTGAGCCGAATTTAGGCTGAGCATAATGAAGAGGGGGGAGGGGGGCTGAATCCTTTTTTCCCCTTGCTTGAACTTTGTGATTAAATCATGTTATATTACAGTTTTTATGAACAAAAACAGGAAGTATTTCTAATTACTTATTATATATTATGTAAATGATATGCAAATATTATGTCTTGTAAATGTTTACAATGCAGCTGTCACATAAAAACAAATTCATGCAAGTGAAATTACAAGAGAGTGCATGATGCTGCATGGAAAAAAAAATCAGAAAGGATGTTTTAAAAAAATGGCACATTATAATTAGATTTGTCTGAGAATTAGAATAATTTTATATGTAAATTCATCATCTAGATTATGAAAATTCATTGCAGCTATTTTCATTGTTTCACACACAGGCATGACACCACGGGATCCATACATACTTCTAGACTCGGAGCTGGTCCTGAAATGCACACTCAACTCCTCGGCTCCTTATGATTCCTCCCGGTTGTACTTCTCACTTAAACCCAATAATCTATCCATTCCTGAGAGGGAAATCCCTATGAATTATACCAGCATTATAAACAAGAAGACCATATCATTGAGGAAGACCATGAGGTCTCTAGAAGAGGCAGGCTACTATTACTGTAAGATCAGAGATGTTCAGCAGTCCATCAGTATGGTAGACAGGCAGGTGGTAGAACTAGAGTGTAAGTATTTTTTTTGTGTTTTTTTAAGCTCACCTGAGCCAAAGATCTTTCAAAATCTTTTCAAGAAAAGTAGAGATTATGTCCCCTGTGGGTAGTGCATTGCCACAATAGAAAATAAAACTTATGGGAAAAAATCTTTAAAAATCTATGAAGCCATGATTTGTCAGAGAAATATGGGAGGATCCTCAGTTAGTGTAGATTCAAGTTTGTTAAAATCACCCCTCTGATCTTAGGGATAGGTTGGTACCAATCATTTAATACTGTACTCCTAGCCAAATGCTCAGGTGAGCAATGTGGCCCATTGGCTTATTGTTTTTTATTCAGTTCTATTTCCCTAAAAGGAGAATTCCTGAAATCATCTTGCTTTTCTGTCCATTTTCCTTCCTCTATTGGCTGTAATCTTATTACATGTAAGACCATTCAAGTTGGAAGTAAAAAAGAAAAATAGATTCAAATGAGAAACTCTTCCTTTTTGGGCATGCAATGAAAAATCTTCTCTGTTTTTTACACATTACAAGAGTTAAATTTGAAAAAAATTCCAAAATTTCAGTTGTTGCCATTCAAGATTACATGCCTATTTCAGTTTTTAAGTAACCTGATTCTCACAAATGACCTCATCAAAAGGAAAAAAAAATCGAACTAATTTGTTATCTGTTCTCATTTGTTATGTAATTCGAGTTGTTCATATTAAATGTTAAAATTCTTAATGATCTTTTTTGACAAGACTGAACTGATTTTAATCAAATTCCATGCATTCCAGTAGTAATTTTAGATATAGATAAAAAATATGAATTTCATATGTCCTTTAATTACCTTCTGAGTCGTTTGAGTGTTGAATTCAACCACATCCCAAACACCCCCTCTATACTCATAGGTGAGCTGTGTGCATTTATCTATTATAAAAGAATAAATTAGTTAAACTGATCATTCTAGTAATTGAAAACATAAAATATTTTGAGGTCAGTTAGTCTTTTTCTTTATTCCTTAATAGTTAATAGACAAAGTGACTATTAAGTACAGTGGACCTTCAGATATCCGGACGCCAGATATCCGGATGCTTCAGTATCCGGATGATTTTTCATCGGAACGAAATTTTTAAATGTTATTCTGTCTTGTTTAACTGGTGATTCAGATATCCGGATGCTTCACATATCCGGACAAATTGACTGGGAACCAAAGCGTCCGGATAAATGAGGGTCCACTGTATATGCTAATGAGTTGATCTATGAATCCAATATGGCTGTTGTGAAATGATAAAAAAAATTGCTAGTTGATTTTCAATTTCATGCTCCAAGGTCAAGCTACATTTGAAAACAATGTTGAATTTGTAGAAGGTTGTCTTCCATACATGTGAACATCATCAACATGATCGAACAAAATGTTTACATTATAATTCTAATCCCTTTTCTTAAATCACAAATCATTTCCTATGAGTAAATGGGCTTGGGTTTAATTTAAATGTTTTTATTTACTCTCTGAATATCTTGCAGAAAACTGTTTGCTAGATTAATAGGTCAGTACCCTTTCTGAAAACAGACCTTTTAAGTGTAGTTTGGGTGAACATGTGACTCATTAAAAATCATGTTTACTAAAACTAGAATGGCTGTGATCTTTTTCTACGTGTTCAAGTTCAAAAGGCATTAATTTAAAAACTAAAGTTAGAAATTTATTTGATATTTTGTATAAGCTTTAAAAATTTTTCGGTTGTCGAGAGTTTTTGTTAAATTGATTTTATGATATTTTGGCAATATCGAGGGAAAAGAGTAAAATAAAAATTTAGCTGCAATTAACAAAGTATGGCAAGCTAGAGACATACATGAAATATAGAAGCTAATGTGTATGGAATTTCTTCAAGAAAGTTACAGCATGTTGTTTGATAATTATGAAGGCTAATGTTAGGTCTTGATTGCCTACAGAATAAGTACAGCAAAACTCATTTAGTACGAACATGAATATTGCAAATTCACGAATACAGCTCGGATTGCCAGCTGTATAAATTTGAACAAATTTCTTATATGGATATAACGAATTACAGATACATGTATAGTGAAGTAATTTCACAGGTCCCAGTGACTTCGTTATAACCGAGTTTTGCTGAATTGGTTTAAGGAAAAAGTTTAACATTAACTTCACTGTGAATTATTTCAGATTCAATTTAGGTTTAATACAGGTAATATATACACACATATATTTTATTTAATTTTAAAAAATCCTCGAATATGAATATTCGAAGAAAATCAACTATAGATATGGATAATTCAGAAACTAAACGTACAGTAGAACCTTTATATATGGAATGTTGATATCTTGAATACCTACTTATGTTGAAGTGAGTTGGAAGTCCCAGCCATTTTTGCTTCACAGTCAATATCTCAAACCATCAGAGCTTTTTCTCAGCTCCATTGAGTTTTGAAATTGTATACAATATTGATTTGGATGTGTTTGATTTTCTAGATCCCCTCCGAAATGTGACAAACTTCCATTGTGAAATCTATGACTGGGATGTAAACAAGACATGTACCTGGGACCTTGGATATTACGCTAATCCAAATAACATCAATGTAACCCTGTATGGGTAAGTCATTTATACTGGGACTGAAAGATATAGCTTTGTAGTAATACTGTTGTTTATATATATTTTTTATCTCACCTGAACCAAAGTTAGCTTTTATGATCATAGTTTTGTTTTTATTGTGTTGGCTATTTTCTCTCTATGCTTTGCATCCTCACAATGTCACAGTTTTTTGATTTCGGAACTCTGGGGGTACCAAAATCACAAAACCTTGACATTGTGAGGATGTGTGCTATGTAACTTTTTTTTTTAAATCATTGCTTCTCTGGGACTAATTTCAGCCATATTTTAAGCTTACAAACTTTTTTTCACAAAGGATATTCAAGTTTCTTTTTATCATAGCATTCAGAGCCAGAAACATTTAATATATTTCAAATTAAAAGCATCCTATTAGATCACAGGTTTATTTATAGAAAATCATTGCAGTAAATGCCAAGATTGGTTAAGAAATAAGGGCTCAAGTTTGCTGCCATTATCAAATCAATATTCAAATATATGATATGTGGTCATAAAAGTGTACATGTATATTAATTTTATACATGTATGTATGTATAGCCTATATGTGCCTCTCAATTTTAATTATTTAGGAATGTTTCTTTTGTGTGTGTCTTTTTACAGTAAATTTTCATAAACCTCAGTGGCTCATTCTTTTTTTTTTCTAATTTGTGCCTGTGATGTCTTTGCACAGAATTATGTCTCATTTTTGGTTATTTATTCCATATGTTGGACCTTGTTTTCAAAAATGCAATTTCAATCCGTGTTTACAAAGAGAACTTTGTTCCTTTAGGAGTGAAGGAAATCAAATTTAATTACTAGGATCTAATTTGATAAATCACTCCAAATCAATAAGAGTCTTTAAACATTTCAGGAAACACTGTTTTGGTGTCAGGACTTGCAAAAAATCCGTGTTCATAAAATGTCCTTCTCTAAGCCCTAACCAGTGCAGATGGCATTTTGGGTCATCTAACTTTGACAGTAGATATTTTCGGGTCATTTTATTGTTGAGGAATCTCAAGCTTAAAGACTCGATATTGCGCTCCAGTTTCTGGCTAGAAGTAGAAAAACTAGGTATCCTTGTCTTTCTTGAGTTATATTATTTACTGTACATCTACATGCCTCACCAGGAGAGTAGAAAGATTATGTCTAGCCCATTACTTGTGAGATGCGTACTTTGTACACTTATAATGTCGAATTTGCCAAGTTAATCATATATACTTAGACAAATAAAGTGAAAGGAGATTATAATTTGTGTCAGATTTGATAATTCCAAAGTTCACTGTTGAGGCATGTTGTCACTGTACCCTGTTTTGATTTTGCACACATTTTATTCAACCACTGAAATTTTGTTATACGTTTGTTTGTTTGTTCTTGTGTATTTTTTTTTTACACAGATTTCACTCACACAATATGAATTGGGTTTTGTGCACATTATTAAGCAAGGTTTAAATTTAACTCTGTTATGAAAGTTAGCAAAAACACTTTTGCACTTTTATTGAAAAATGTGTAGTTGTATAAGAATTGCAAGTTATTGTTGAATTTAGATATGAGAAATTTAAGCCGTTATTTAATTTATAGATACAAATATTATGTATCAATGCACATCTGAAAGATTTTTTTTTATGCTACACAAGATAAATACACTTGTTGATGTACAGTTTACTTGTTTTGCAAAACAGAGCTTGTTTTGCTTTAAACATCAATGGAATCTTGTTTTCACAACAAATTGATACAAAACAATCTTTCAGAAAACAGTTTAAATTTTCATAAAAATAGACGCAAACAAGGACATGACAACAATAAACCAGGAAAGTGAAAACAAATTGTTCTCACATATTAACAATTATAGGAAAAATGGTCTGCATGGGGTCATTCATCAATGCCCTGTGCAGGGCCTCACCAGTTGTGTCTGGCCTAACCCCTCCCAGAGTAACGGCAGAATCGTGATCAATGGAGGGGCATCATGGACCTATATAGTCAGGGTGAAAAACCTCCACAGTCGAGAAACCATTGTTCGAAATGTCTTCTTCATCCAGTGTTTAAATTCAATTGGTAACATATGTACATCATAAGATTCAGAGATAGAAATTGGCTGAAAGAGGATTAAACTGGGTCTTGCCAGTCTAATGCTTTATAGATTGTGACATGTCTGAAGCTTTAAGGTCACTGGGCTTCAACAAATTTTTCTGATCAAATGTGTACTCTGTAATTTGTCCTTTGTTAATTTCAGCTTTGCTGTTGAAAAATTGTATGTTGTTGTAACCATTGTTGTCATAAACTGTTCACAATTTCATCTTCTTCTCAAGAACCACTGGGCCAATTTCAACCAAACTTGGCACAAGGCATCCTTGATGAGAATTCAAGTTTGTTCTAATGAATGTCCATACTCTCAATTATACCCCAGCAACAAGTTGCGTGAGATATAATGTTTTTGACCTGTCCGTCAGTCCTGGAATTTCCGAGCTTTTCAACTTAAATTTTTGGCGATACCTTGAATATAGAGATGAACAGTTTGTCAGCACAACACCTCATAAAGCGCTGCACAGAATTTCATCAAACTTTGCAGATATTTAGGCCACAATGTGTAGATGTGCATATTACCAGGAAATTCCAATTTCTTTATTTTTTCTTGGAATTTCGGCACTTTTCAACTTAGATTTTTGGCCATATCTTGTATATAGAAATGAACAGTTTGTCAGTGCAACTCCTCATAAACCGCCGCATAGAATTTCGTCAAACTTTGCAGATATTTAGGACACAATGTTTAGATGTGCGTAATACTGGAAAATTTTGATTCCTTTATTTTTCTGGGAATTTTGGCACTTTTCAACTTAGATTTTTGGCCATATCTTGAATATAGAGATGAACAGTTTGTCAGCGCAACATCTCATAAAGCGCTGCATAGAATTTCATCAAACTTTGCAGATATTTAGGACACAATGTTTAGATGTGCATAATACATGTACTAGGAAATTTTGATTCCTTTATTTTTCTGGGAATTTCAGCACTTTGAGTTTTGGGGGAGCGTGGGTTATATGAGCTTGCTCACTTTTTCTTTCATTAAGAATAGTAAAATTTCGCTGCATGTCATTTCCGGAAATATGCATAGCATTTCCGTCAATTTTTGTTTTCATTTCCGACATTTTTTGTTTTCATTTCCGACATAATTTTTTTTTTTCATTTCCGGAATTTACCTGTGCGGCAATTCAATGTTTTCTAAGTAAAAGAAAATGGAATTTGAAAAGTATTTTTACCAAAACATTAATAAAAAAAATTAAAAAAAAAACAACATCTATACATATATGGATACATGTAGCACTAAGTCTAGGTAAAAGAGTTAAATGAGCACAAAACTCTTTCACCACATTTAATGTGCACTAAATTAAATGTCAGAGACAGCACCATACTTATGTCCAAGTCACTGATAGATTTACAAAATTGGATTACAATGATTTATTTATGATTTATTCCTTTGAATTTTTCATAAGTAAAGTTATCAAATCTGTTACTATGGGTACTACATATGTACTTGAAAAATGTCAGAAATGAAAACAAAAATATGTCGGAAATGAAAACTAAAAAATGTCGGAAATGAAAAGTTGATAATTACCAAAAATTCCGGAAATGAAATGCAACCTAAAATTTTAATCTTGTCCTGTAGAACCTTGGGGCTAGAAAACATCAAACTGTTATGAAAGCTTCATTGCCCAGTGTAGAGTCAATTTTGTTCAAGTCATGATCCCAGGGGGAAGTATGATCAAAAATATGCATAGGAACATATTGGGAAAAAAACTTTTAAAGTCTTCTCCTGAAAAACAGCAAAGCAGTTTTTAATCATGTCTTAAATATGTAAAAATCCCCATGCATTTGAGATTCAAATTTGTTGAATCATGACCTCCAGGGAAAGGGTAGGGTCATATTAGACTTTTAATAGGGATGGGGTGGGTGTCCACTTGGGTTACTTCAATGTATGACCCATTAGCTAGGGGGTGTCCACACTGTGGCTCGAACCTACAACCCTCAGATTTAAAATCCAACGCTCTACCAACTGAGCTAAAGGGTTAACCCACTAGCTAGTGCTAGTAGGAGCGTGGCCTCACTATTTACAACACTTAGCCACTTTTAAACTCTGCTACAAATGTGATTGGCCAATATTATCAGGGTATTGTTTGATTCTGTGTTTCATATGCAAACTAGTATTTATTTAATTGAAATCAAACATCCAGTCAATGAGTTATATGGTATCAATTTGTTAAATATTACTAGTATGGTCAATCTAGCAAATTGACACACTGTTATTGGAATGATAGTAACACCCTGGCACACTTTTGCAAATGGCCAGACACGTTAGAAGATAGATCCTAAATGACCATTTAAACACTCTTCAAATTCATTAAACAGTTAACATCTTTGTATATTTATTATATTTTTATAAATTTAATGTCAGATGTAAAAATCCATTCAATCCATTTAAACTTAAAAGTAATTTTTCTAAAAACAGTGACTAGGTGAGTGTTGTGGTCCATGGGCCTCTTATAACAATGACAAGGTGATGGAAACAAGATTTACTCTATGTATGCTTAAGTTGACTGGTCATTTGTAGGAATAATGGAGGAAAATTTTGGCATACATGCCCCAAAATGCTAAATAATCAGCAGTGTGTGTGGGACCAAACAAAAGATGATGTTGTAATTAGCTCAGGGAGCTCATGGACATATACAGTCCTCACGAAAAACATCAAGCTTAACAATGCTACATATGTCAAGCATACTATTCAAGAAATTACATCTATAGGTATTCCAATCTTGATATAAATCTTTAATGTAACATCTCTACACTTTTGCAATGCCTTAAACACCTGCTTTAAGAAGGCTAGCTACAAAATTGATGAAAATATCATTAAGTCCTGCCATCAAATCAACTAATGCACATACGAAAGCCTAATGCATAATTTTAAACCCTGACAATATTCTCTCTCATATTATTAATTATGTACTAGTTACTAATCTGAGAAGATATGGTGCAATTTGTATCATTTAAACATTTCATATTAACATATATAACTGATCTATAAAGCTTATATTCAAAGACGAGTGCATTTTGTCTTTGTACTTAAATAGTAGGTTTCTATAGGTTTATGGCTTTGTAACTATATCTACAGACATAAATATCAAAACATTACTATAGTATGGTGGATTGCATGTGCATGTACATTTGTTTAGAAACTGCACTAATATATTTAATAATGCTTCTTCCATCATGGCTGTTTTATTCATTTTATTCCATTACAAATATTTTACTAATGAACAACATTTCTGATGACTGTGATGAAGTAAATAAGAATCAAGTTACATTTATAAGATGTAAGAATATGAAGAAGTTTCCATTTTTGTTCAGTATAATCACCAAAGTGAAATGAACATTGATTAAGTATTTGTATAAGATAAAATTTTGATTTTTTTAATATAAGGGTAACATTCAAAGATTTTTTTCAAATTATACATATGACCAAAATTTTATTGATAGTATTTATGTCATGAACATCACAAGTTTGAAATTTTTCAATGCAGTGAGACCCTCTCCAGTTAAATACTTGAACATATACAACACAACATACAAAGACTGTGTGACTGTCACCTGGGAGTATAATCGACCAAACCGAGTCCAGGCAGTGGAGATAAGGTACTCCAAATTCCAGAGAGATGATGACGTACTTAAGGTAATCTAAATAATAGTACATGTATATCTAAGAAATTATTAGGATTTCCTCTTAAGACAAAGGCTCAGAGAAGCTTTTCTGATAAAAATTTGGCCATAATGTCTGCTAGTGACATAGATTTTTAGATTTTCATCTTCAGAGCCTTTGGATCAATTTTCAATTGACCCAAAATATCTTTGGATGAAGGGTACCAGATTATCAAATGAAGGGAAACATACACAAGACAAAAACAAGATGGTTGTCTTTAAAAATTATCCCAAAAACCACCTTTAGATGAAAAAGTACGGTGAAACTTGTTTATTACAAACATTGATATAATGAATGTACAGACAAATTATGGATAAAGCAAGGTAAGGTCCCCAGAACTTCACTATAACCAAGTTTTACTGCATGATTAAATGAGTAGATGGGAAAGAGGTTACAGCCATTGCATCAATTTGCTGTTTTTTTTAATTTTGAACAGTTTATATATTATAAAAACCTGATAATGTCTTTACAGACAGTGATATTGAAGAACAGTGCTGTCAATGCCACAGTATGTAACCTCACTGCCTACACTGACTATCTGTTTGAGATTCGAGTCAAGCCACAGAATTATGCTGGAAATATCACTGGATATTGGAGTCAATCTACCAGAAAACTTTATAAAACCATTGGTGATAGTGAGTTTCCATAATTTCTAAGAGAAATATTAATTAGAAATTAAAGATTAAGGCATAATGCAGTTGATTGTGTATCTGACAATATGCCTCTCCAAGCATTACATGAACTGGATATTTGAAAAATATTAAAATTTGACATCTTTATTGTTCAAAATATACAGACTTCAGTGGTAAAACAAAATGTTGGTGATGAATTAAGTAACGGTAAATATTAACATGTTTCAGATCCCAGTGCAGCCCCTGTACTTACCCTGGGAAGTTACATCAATGATCAGGAACATTGTGTCAGTGACATGGATAATCGTCGAGTTGTTGTTTTGTGGAAGGTAACCTTCAACCGTTACAATAATTTTATAAACATAAATGTATCTATTGAGTAGCACTCCCATTACTAATGGTCTCATAAATACAGAGAAACCTGTCTAATCCGATATACACTGGGAGATGAATTTTATGTCAAAATATACAAGGTGGCAGATTGCATAGTGTAAATTATCATGGAAAAAAGTAAAGTGGGAGGGAAACTTAATGTCGGAATTCACAGTGTGATGGATTGAACAGGTGTCGGATTAGACAGTTTTCACTGTATTTTCAGTCAGAGGAGAGTATGCACCCCTCTTATATTTTAAAAGTTTTTCAGGATCCTCAAAATGCTATAACCTAATACTAGAGGCTTTAACATTAAACTCATGGAATTGCTGTCTTAATCTGTTCTAGTCAATAACGAATATGGAATCCAATGGAAATGACACATACTATGAAGTCCACTACCGTCAGATTGGAGACACACAGACAGACAGGAAGGTGGTGAAGGAGAGAATAATGAAGGTAGACCTGGACCTGAAGTGTAGGAAGGGTTATAACATCCACGTCTACGCTATCAACGAGTTTGGCTTGTCTTCTGTCTACGGATCCATTCATATTCCACCCAATGGCAGTAAGTATTTCTGAATACAAACCATATTATTCCAAATGCTAGTATTTTCAAGCCAATTGTTTGGACTGATAAAAAGTTTGATTACTGAAAGGTACCTGTTATAGTAGGTAGAACAAAAATGAAAATTATGTTCATCCATTCTGAGGTGATTTTTCTGAATTATTGTCATCTTGATTATTCAGGCTTGACTGTATATTCAGCAATAAATGTTGAAATTTCTTTTTTCTTACAAGTCATTGTATACTGAAGCATTGATTACATGCAGTTCCTATAAGTGTCACAAGAATGTGTGATATTGATATCTCTTCACTGAATTGATTTTGAACATTGTAGCTGTAGAGATGCCTAAGAATGTTCAGGTGGAGACAGATAACAAACTGGTCAATGTTTCCTGGGACTACAACCCAAACAAAAATGTCAGCTTCACAGTCTACTGGTGCAGCAAACGAGGGCTGGTAAGCACTTTTTAATATTTACATACTGGAGATTGTACTTGAAATTCACTCATTTTCCTGAGGAATTTTAAATAAGGCCCCTGCCTTATATGCAAGAGTGATTAAGTAATAGCTTTGTCTGTCTATATGTCCATCTGTCTGACAACACTTTTGTGTCATGATATCTCAGTCAGTTTTCAATGTATTTAAATTTTATACTCAAGTACTTTACTATGAGAGGAAGACACCTCTACATTTTGTGAACATATCACTTAGTCTGTTTGAATGTATGTCCATGAACTGTTGTGATACATGTACTGTGTGTCACAACTCAAAAGCTGTTTTCAAATTCTAATGTATCATTTTCTTTAAATTTTGGAAAAGTACTTTACTACTAGATACGATCTCGTTGCGAGCAACGAGAGGTCTTCTGTCCGATTCCGAAAAAAACCTGTAAAATCTAGCTTGAAATATTGCACGCAAGGAGGATTGAATCTATGTCGCCAGCATGAAAATCCAATGTGCTAAATATTACGTACGCCATTGGGACCTCTGCTCTAAATCTTCTTGTATATACCTCTGTATAACAGTGCCTTTGTCTTAGAATTATGAAAGGCTGGTCACTATTCATAATTTCGAGCCAAACGCCACGAGTTAATCTTCCCCCCTTTTCTTTAAATGTTCTATTTAATAGGTGTGATAGCTTCAATGAAATAAAAGGAACGTTCATATAGCCTAAAATTTGATGATGAAAGTATATTTAACACATTTCACAGACACCATATAGTATGTGAGCAATTAACACTAAAACAGTGAAACGGCTATGAATTTTAACTTTTTTTTTTAAATTTCATGTTTATTGCCAAAGTGATCGTATCAGGAATTCGTTAAATTTGTGGGATTTAAGATAACTTGGGGATCTAAGATAACTTCGCTATATCCGTGAATTCGCAATATCCGTGTTCGTACTAAACGAGTTTTACTGTATCCCGATTAGTTAAACATTCAAGAAGAGATTGAAATGTTTCGCCAAAAAAAAAAGGCTCGTCTTATGACGGTCAAGGAATTAGATACCGTTTGTGCTCAATACCTTGAATAAGATCTTTGAGACAATACTGTAAATATAAACTTCATTAAACGATTTTTAAAAAAATATGGTTATCTTATTTTGTCTTTTCTATTGGTTTAATATGGCACAAGTGTGCAAGGGAAAACAGTGGTTAAGTTTTATACTTACTGTATTTATTGATATTCTTTCTTGAAAATTAAAACTGTCACTTATAAATATGATTAAAGATCTGCTTTTCCGTGGTGCAATCAGAAGATATTAGGTATCGAATTTCATTTGCACATTTAGTCTTTTCTTTTTCTACTTTGAGAACCAACCAAAACCAATTATAGAAGACGTTTAAGAATTTTGTTTGACACAGAATTGCAACATAACTACAACGTGAAAATCCAAGTATTCCTTTACATTTTATTTGTCCTTATGTTACTTTCGTTCAAGCAAACGCTCGGCTGCCTCCGTAAACTCCTATTGCGAAATGCCGGAGTTGACAAAGAGAGCGGCCATTTTGGAATGCTTCAAATTTTTAAATGCTAATATGTAGAGTATAGATTTATTAAAATTCAAACAAATTATAATATAAGCATTACAAGAAAGGTGTCTATTAACATACCAAAAATAAACGAAAAATATTGAAAAACAAAAAAAGTTGAAAATTTGGACTTTTTAAATTGGCTACCGGTAGCAACCGGAAGTAATGACGACAAACGAAAAGTCGCGTCCTGGATAGTATTTATCATCATGTATAAACTCTGAAAGTTTCACATTGATATCTTTTACCGTTCTTAAGAAAATCCGTGGACAAAATGTCATTTTAAAAATCAGAAAAAGGTCTGTAACTTGGCACCAGAAGCGAATTTTCAAAAAATCTCTCAGATGTATCAAATCCATTTACCAACACATCTGTCCTGAAAATTTCATCTAATTCTATCCAGTAGTCTTCGAGAAATCTCGTCAGAAAAATAATAAAAATAATAAGAAGAAACAATACAATCGCTATAAGGTCTTCCGTTAAGACGGAAGACCTTAATTATAGGATGTCACCTATGTATTTTTGGAATATAATACTTTGGAATCATCAATATTCAATTGGGGTCCAATATATGTGCATTTCATGGGTCGCCCTTATCCACGAATTTACATCCCCACAAACAATTATTTTGTCAACATATTTATCTACTGAGTCATTTTTGTTTACAAGTTACTCAAGAAATTACATGCCCATGAACCAACAAAATTTTGCTTACACCATGAACATTGGCCTCCACGAATTAAAATGATTTCACAGTATTTGTATTTCGCCTGTCTGTGTGTCGAAGTGTACACCATATATACTTACAGAGAAAAGAAGTCAGCTGGAAGGTAGCAGGCTTTGGGAAGTCTTCCTTGGTGTTCAATGCCAATGAGTTTCATGAAATAAGCGACCTTAAGTTTGGAGTATCAGCTGACTCACTCACAGACAACATCAGCAGTGGATTTGAATGGATCACTTGTGTTTACAATAGCAATGAAGGTATTTGTATGATTATTTATCTTGAATTTTATCCCACAGTGGTAAAGTTGAACTACAAACTATAGAAATACAAACTACTGTAAATTCACCTATTTTTGAGGGATCAAATTTTCATGATTTGAAGAATTGAGTAGTTATGTATGTGATATTTTACATATCATGGTGGACATAAATTTGTAGGTCTCTTCATATCTCAAAAACCATGAAAAATAAACCCCACACAAAAATTAGTGATTTCACAGGAAATTTAAACTGTTATTGAGTAATTACTGCTCTTTTGTATCCTACATCCTTAAATTAACAATTTCTATTACTGTAAAACGAAAAAAAATTTGGTGCATATGTATTTTAGCGCAAACGCAAGTGGGAATGCATTGGCGCAAATAAATTTTAGCGCTTGCACTTGTCATCAAATTATATAAATGTGATATTATTTTTATTCATGCCCGTATTTTACTTTTTGGTTAGTCAAACACAAAAACACAATAGTACTCCCGTATATAAGTAATCATTCGTCAACTTTACCATGGTGTTGCAATCACATAGATGTGGCACATTGTTAAATTTATTTCAATTTTAAATAAAAGAAATGGAGTATTTACGCATTTTATTCATATTTAAACAATGCATGCATCAAAAGAAAGTTACCTGGATATTCCATAAACGGTAATTATAATCAGGTATTGTCTGCAAGCTCAATCTCCATGCGTGATTGAATTGTTTACCTTGAGGCGATAGAAGATTGACAAACCAAGAAGCCAAACTTTGAAGTTGCTAATGATAAGTATCGGGTAACACTAACAATAGTTAAATTAAATCTTTATTTGGCAGAACATTTTCGATTGATCCTACCATGTACGGTGCTACACGTGTGTATGTAAAATTCAACGACCCTTTCACATTACGTAATCGCATGTTCTGGTTAACATCTACATGTACTTGTGTGAAAGCTTTATACACACAAAAAAAATATGATATTTAGAAATCCGTTAGCGCACAATAAATTTAAGCGTTCAGGGGCTCTTGCGCCAAAGGCGCTAGAATTAGTAGTGCGCCAAATATTCTCATTTTACAGATTTCCCCTTCTATAATTTGGAAGTAGAAACATGTCATTTGAATTTCAAAGCTATTTCATATATTGTTGTTAAATTAATTTTGTATTCCAGCACCTGCCTCTCCAAGAAAGGTCTCTATTTTATCCAACAAAGATGGCCTGGTCATAAACTGGATTCCACCAACTTGTGATGGATTAACCTCCAAACCAGTCAGGTACCAACTCTCCTGGTGTCAGATAAAGGATAAATCAGACCTTTGTCAAGGTACAATACCTGTGATTTTATATAAAAAAGAGATTCTGAGACAATTTTTGAGCAGAAATTTCAAATGTTGGTTTTAATCAGATGCAAATGCTAGTTTTCACTTGTAGGACTTCATTTTACATAATACAGTACATATGTACTCATCCACATGATTATTTCTACATGTACATACAGATTTTCTGATCACAGTTTTTTTCGTAAGCAAGTAAATTCATCAAACAATCAAATGAAATTGTGTTTGGATTTCTTCAAACTTCTTAAAGTGGTTAATTTTCCAAGGTAATGCAAAGCTTTTCTTGGGTCTCACTTCTCATACAGTGTATTTTTTAGCTCTTCTGATCACATTTTGTCCGGCGTCCGTCTGTCTGTCCGTCTGTCTAGCTGTCTGTCTGTCTGTAAACTTTTCACATTTTCGACTTCTTCTCAAGAACCGCTGGGCCAATTTCAACCAAACTTGCCACAAAGCATCCTTGGGTGAAGGGGATTCAAGTTTGTTCAAATGAAGGGCCACGCCCTCATTCAAGGGGAAATAATTGGGAATTAATGAAAATTTGGTGGTATGTTTTAAAAATCTTCTTCTCAAGAACCACTGTGCCAGGAAAGATGAAACTTATGGGGAAACATCCTCAGGTAGTGTAGATTCAATTTTTTTCAAATCATGACCCCCGGGTGTAGGGCGGGGCCACAATGGCCGACCAAAGTTTTACATAGAAATATATAGGAAAATTCTTTAAAAATCTTCTTCTCAAGAATAACAAAGCCATAATTGATCATATTTATATGAAAGCATCCTCAGGTAGTGTAGATTCAAGTTTGTTCAAATCATGACCCCCGGGGGTAGGGCGGGGCCAAAATGGCCGACCAAAGTTTTACATAGAAATATATTGGAAAATTCTTTAAAAATCTTCTACTCAAGAATAACAAAGCCATAATTGATCATATTTATATGGAAGCATCCTCAGGTAGTGTAGATTCAAGTTTGTTCAAATCATGACCCCCGGGGGTAGAGCGGGGCCACAGTGGTCGACCATTTTACATAGATATATATATATCGCGGTATATTCCAAAAAAATTAGCCCATATGATTTTTGTGGATAAAACTATAGGAAAATTCTTTAAAAATCTTCTTCTCAAGAATAACAAAGCCATAATTGATCATATTTATATGGAAGCATCCTCAGGTAGTGTAGATTCAAGTTTGTTCAAATCATGACCCCCGGGAGTAGGGCGGGGCCACAATGGCCAACCAAAGTTTTACATAGAAATATATAGGAAAATTCTTTAAAAATCTTCTTCTCAAGAATAACAAAGCCATAATTGATCATATTTATATGGAAGCATCCTTAGGTAGTGTAGATTCAAGTTTGTTCAAATCATGACCCCCGGGGGTAGAGCGGGGCCACAGTGGTCGACAAAAATTTTACATAGAAATATATAGGAAAATTCTTTAAAAATCATCTTCTCAAGAATAGTAAAACCATAACTGGTCAATGGTTTACTTTTGGATTTAAACTTTTCAATAATAAACCAATTTCTATTTTATTCCTAGCCACAGTGCTCAGGTGAGCGATGTGGCCCATGGGCCTCTTGTTGTATGACAGTTTGTGTGATAGTCATTAAAATACTGAAAATGATGAAAACTTTCCTGTAACAGTCTTACTTCAGATTAATTAAGACTTTGTCTCATGTGAAGTCTGTCACTGGTGTTGGCTTTTCAATTTTTGCTCACCTTCTAATGATTTGTGTTAACCCTTTGTGTGCTGACTTGTTTTACGTGCGCTGTAACCTCAGGACTGAGTTGTTTTGTAATATCAACAAAATTATCACAATGGTGTACTAAAATGCAAATATCTCAAATTGTTGACAACCAATTTGCTTGAAATTTGGCAAATATATAGCAAATGTTGCGTTTTTTAATCTTTACTGTTTTTTTTAAAAAATCTAATATTTTATGTTGCCATGGAAACCAAATTTTCAAAAAATTTATCTTAAAATGACTTTTTAGCATTTTAACTATATTTTTCAGAAAAAATATTGCACTTTGATGAAAAAAATATATCAATTGCTTTAAAAATTCAATTTTTGTTTAATATTATGTAAAAAAAATTAATTTAAACAATAACTCTATGATAAAGTCGATGTTATATATAACCGTTATGTTGTGAAAAGTCATTGTATACTTATCTGAGTAAGCATGGTAAGGGATATATTCATGTAGGTTTAAGTAAATTCTGATTTAAGTTAATGGATTTTTTTTCAGATTTTAACTAAAAAGAGTATAAATTGATGATTCAATTAGCCTGTAAATATAAAACCAGTGATTATTTTAAGAAATATTGGCAATCATATAAGAAAGTATGATCCTCAAAGAATATGCAGTTTTCAAGGTTGGGAAATCTAGGAGCAAATTGGCAGAACAATGAACTAATTGCTGTTACTAGTATTCATTTTCAAATTAAAGCAGTCAATATGTTACATAAATTTGAAAAAAAAATAAAATAACATTTACACTAAGTTATAGAGGTCTTATTTTCTAATGACTGGTATCTAACAGCCCTAAATATACTCTAGTAATTCTCAAATCTTTTTTTTATTTTGCTTTTATTGAAGAAAATGCATTTCTCCATGTTATTTGTAAAGTTTACATATTCATCAACTTTCCTCCCACAGTACTTCTCACTCTGTAAGAAATGTGGTATTTGTTCTAGAAGTTTTATTCCTGGCTGGCAACAATAATTGCCAGCAGGAAAACTAGTATTTTAAATTTTAGAAATTTAAGCACCTTTAACAGTCATTTAAATGTTTTCAAAAATGACTTCGTTCAATATTAATGTGGTCACTTGTGAATAACAGTTTTGATTTTTTTTCAATTGATTTTAGTTAATGATGGTTGACAGATATGTACCATAATATCAATCAATATATTATGAAATACTTTTAAGTTTATGCAAGTCTAATGGTATGGGTCATGGATATAGGCCAAGTAAGCTCAGTCAGTAGAGCATCTGATTGGTGATGCAGGGGCCCCTTCTTAGATTCACGGTCCAGCCATGTATTTTCTCCTTCCTTGTTACATATTTGATGCTATTGACCCCTCTGGATTTTCAAGTGAAAGTCCTGTCAGGGGCTAATAAGAATTTGGGTTGTGTCTGCAAGGATAAAGATAACTTTAAGGAGGGATATGTAATGGTTTTGCTATGGGTATCAACCTGGGTAGCTCATTAGGTAGAGCACCTAACTAGTGCAGCAGAGTTCCTGAGTTCAATTCCTGGTCCAACCATAGTTACCAATGTACATTTTCTCCTTTCCTATTACACAAGTTTTAAATGTGCCTGAATTTTTACTTCAACATAAAATATTATTCCTAATACTGTATACAGGGAAATTTTAGCCCCCGTTTTATTTTTGCCCCTTTCACCCTCTCCTTGATTGGGCGAATTCAAATTACACCTCATAATTTATTAAACAGATCTATGACTGGGGGAATTTAAAACAGGGCAAAATTGTTCACAAGTTCAAAAGGGTGAAAATAACATGGGGCAAAAATAAACCTGTATACAGTAATGAAATTTATATTTTATTTCCACTATGGGATTTCTTTGTATTCTTAGTAACTATTCATATTTCATATTTAAAAATAAACATATATTTGGAGACCAAAATGTAATCTTTGTTGATAAGTAATTGTACAGATATTTGCATTTTTGAAAAAAAAAATTGACCATCATTAAAAAAAGAATTCTCACAGTAAATCTAAGCCTTTTTTCTGTATTCATTCAGGCATATATTTTATTTAGCTGGGTATCCAAATTGACTTCGCTATCTCCGTAAATTTGCAATATTCGTGTTCGTACTAAAGGAGTTTTGCTGTATTACCCAGTCTTTATTGTTATTTATTGAACAGATGTACATGCAAGTCCATACAACATGTACAATTTACAAATTACTCATTCTAAAGACTCTGAACTCTTTCTTATGCCTACAAAAATGACAGTTCATCTTAATTTTAAACTGTAGAAATACCATTTATTTAACCAGTGAATTTTATAATTTTGTGTGTGCATGTATAGGTTGGGGCAGTCTCACTGTTTTTGGTTTTCAATAAAATAAAAATAAAAAGTGGAGGAAATGTGCAATTTAATCCACATGCTTTATTCTGGCAAAAGTCTATTTTAAAGAAAAAGAAAATGTCTCCCTGATACATGTTCTTAAACTTGGTTTTAAAAAAAATTCTGATACATATAGTACCAATTATTTTCACTTACTAATTAGGTCCCATGCAAACTAGAGTATGTAAATGCCTTGAAGAAATCTAACTCTAAGATACCAAAGATCCCGGAACATATTTTGGTTTTGAAATTATTAAGAGTCTATATAATCCTCATCAAGGAAATAAAAATGGTATTTTATTACTTACTGAAATAAAACAAATACCACAGTTTACACAAATGACAGTCATTTCAGGGAAAATCAGCACTTCAAAATTTTTTCATCACTTTTACTATTTTCATGTATATGCACATGATCAAATGCATCAATGCATTTTTTCTGATAACTAGCTTACATTTGAAGACACTATATAGAAAAAATCAAGTTTATGCTAAAAATTTTACAATATATCATATACTGTTATAAAAAATATTTGAAAGTTTTCCCAAATAGATGGAACATCAAGCAGCTTTAAACCAGAATTTTTAGGTGTAATTAGGGACACTTAATTGACTCAATGATTGTCAATTATAAAATTCATATTGTGTATATTTCGAATACCTGTATCATGAATTAATTTTGCTTGATCACAAAAATGTGTTGATGGATATATATATTCTCTATATATCTCTTTTGCACTCACTTATTAATGCAATAACTCATTGGAAAATTTCCTACAATGTTCAAGGTCCTCCACATTTATTACTTTTATTAGGTGGAACCTTTTTTATCTTTCAACATTTTTGAAATGGGTCTTTAATTAGATTTAAAAAAAATTGTTTACTTATTTATTTGTTTATTTATTGCTAAAAAACAAATGCTTTTAATTAACAAGATGCTTCAAATTATTTTTTGCAAACCTTTATTTCAAAGCAAAGCTTGATTTACGTATGTAAACAACGTGCACAGCCACCGAGGAAAAGAAAAACGTCTGTGACTTGCCAGGTTCAATCTCGCGCATTATTGTTTTCATTTAGACGATGTAATGTATGTCTACTTATAAAACACCAAATAAACAAATAATAACCACCGTATGTCCAAAATATAAAACTTTGCCGACCATATAAGCTCTTGATATGCTTCAGACTGAAGTGCAGTAGCATGTGCATCCTACTTTCGTTTAAACAGGAAGAACTTCGCAAGGTTAAGGTCAAGTCAAGTTAACCAGAGTTTTTCTGCTTAAATATCGAAAATTTCTTGGTATTTTTATGTCTACTAACACAAATTTATTAGAATTATTGATATTTAACTATTTTTTGGATTTATTTCTTTATTTTCCTTTATATTAGAGCAAGTTAGTTGATATTTATTACATGCGCGTTTTTTCCCTGTTTCCAAAAATAGCGGACTGACTTTCATCCTAACAAACGCCAAACACCTTCACTTTAAATCACAATTTCACAAATAATTCGCATATTTTAACATCTTAATTATCTATTTTTCAATATGTTGTAGTTGTATAATACATTTTGATAGATTCTGAATAATTCACAGCTCATTTATACGTTTTATACGACGTTTTATGTGACGAAGCGCTAATTCCAGTCTCAGACCCAACATATTGGGTTCCCGCACGCAAGCGTTTGTGACGTCAGACCCAATATATTGGGTTCCCGCACACAAAGGGTTAACTGATATTTTATTTTTGCCTTATAGTCTAGTCATTCTACTGAAAAATGAGAACTAATTGCAACAGTATATATTTTAAAGCAGATTTGTAGATAAGCTATTAGTAACTCACATATAAAAAGTTTAGAAAAATTCACTCAGGGGAAAGTTGGGAAATCGAAAGATTAAAATTAGGGATCAATATGAATTTAGAATTACCCATTTGCACACCGTACTTTTTCTATATGAGCTGTCTATGACAGACAGCCTGTAAACAATAGCCAATTAGCATTAAAAGTTGTTGTTTTAACCTGTAGTTTGTTTTGCAATCAAAACTAAATCAAAAAAATTATATATTTTGATTTTCAAAAAAGTGAAGTTTTGACTTCCACACCGGCCAAATATCATCTACACATATATATGGTTGTAATTACCATTCATGTAAACAAAAAAGTATGGAACGCTGTTTGTATTCACAATATATATGTGAAATTCCTAAATGTGAATGTGTTTATTTTCATTTTATTTGTAAACATCTGATGGACATTTATACCCCAGTAGTTTTGGAATTTATACTCAAGAAACAAAAAATGTATGGAACACAGTTTGTATACAAAATAAGTCAAAACAGCCTTTTCTAAAGAATTCTGCAAGGAAGCTTATCAGACAAGTACAATGTATATCAGAGTTGTTATAATTGCATCATCACAGAATATATTTTGATTAAATATCTAGAATATATATAGAAATTTATCATTTAGAAATAAAGAGTACAGAATTTATGGAATCACATGAACAAGATTTGATTTGAAGGTCTCCAAGTTAAAAAAAATCAAATATTTAATTCCATTCAGGCATCTCCGGAACTTAAATTTGAACTGTGTGATTCAAACAATTTTTTTGCTCTCCAGATTTACTGCTTATTGCTTTTGTAAAAAGTAGCGAACCTTTTGATATTGACCTTTTTCTCTATAAAGACTGCACCATGCATCTATACCATGTACAAAAGCTGCATTATGTTTATAGTAATGGAAATAATTCAAATGGAATCGTTTAGACAGAATTAAACGCTTAAATGCTCTTTTTTAAAATTCTTAATGTAACTTTTTAACATAATATTTTAAACCCATTTTAAAAAACTTAACTTCTCCTTGTAGATCATGTGGTCATTTTTGCAACAGTAAAATGCCTGATGCGGCACTTATTGAAGCTCCATTTTATGGGGACTGGTGATAACGGCGTTTCTATGAGCATGCTTTAGAATGTGAACAATCTGGAACACTTTCAAAGTCACTTCTTAATAAGAGCAACATTGAAAAAAGAAAAGCAGATGGACGTGAATCTTTCTACTATAATTGTATATTGTTTAACATCCCTCTCGAGAATTTTTCATGCATATTGAGACGCCACCACTTGCCAGTGGAGAGCTGCACATTTTGTTCTATACTTAGCACTTAGGGTCATTAAGCAATGAGGGATCTTTTTCACGCCAGTGCCTACTGTGACACGGGACCTCGGTTTATACGGTCTTATCCGACCGGTCTCCACATCCCACTGTGGGATTCGAACCCGCGACGTAAGGATCTACTCCTTACTTCGCAACTCTAGAGCAGATGCTCTAACCACTGCACCATACGGGTGAATTCCTAGATTAAAGCCAAAGTCTTATAATTTCTATAACTGTTAGGATAAAAATATTTGGGGAAAATGTTACAAACATTAATAATACTTTTACATATGAATTTTAACAAGTAAAAATTGATAACCAGTATCTACCAAGAGTTTAACAATTAATTCTTCCTTGAAACAAATACTTGGCTTGCTCTCTTTTACTTCATTCCATTTGTGTAAGTGCTTTAATTTGACCTTAGATTTTTTTATCAATAAGAATAAAATAATCTACTGTGTGCTTTCAATTGTCCCCACCCTCTTCAAGTAACATTACATAGCAATGGTTTGAAATACATTAAGATTCAAGAAGGGTAACAATATAATAATTATTAACTGCGCAGAACCTTTGCGCGCACATTTCACGATATTTTGTTCTCAATGCAATTTAATTACTGTTGATTCGGCTACATCTTGGTCAACAATGATCATTTTCAAGGGATTACAATTTCAGATTTTATCCTAAAACGTGTCTTATATTCATATTATTGAATGTAGTTGAGGGTTACACTGAAAAAATCTTGAAATATTTTTTCGAATATCACCATGAAGCAACATTAAATGTTGCTATGTTCTTATCACACCAGAGGGCGTGGTTTCATTTTATGGAAGGTTAAAAAAATACATTGATCCACTTGATATGAGTAAGATAGCATTTTTATTAAGGTACATTGATACTCTGATAAGAGAGATAACTCTTAATGACACAAATGGCTATTATTCCTTTATAAATTTGTCAAGTTTAAGTGCCTTTTTCGTCAAATTTTGCCCCGCAAGCCATGCTATAATTGTTTGTATTTTATTCAGCATAAACATTTCCTTTGGAAAATCATAAAAGTTAAAGAAAAATTTCATATGAGCGAGCAGAGGGTTTATGAACCTTAAACTCATGACAAGAAATACCCTGTAGGGTACCCGGGTGTGGGGTGGGTTCAAGTTCTGATCAAGCAAGAACCATCATACTCATTATAGTGTACAAGCATTTTATGATACTGATGTAAACAGAGTAATTTTTTTTTATTTCGGAGCATTTTATACAAGTTACCAACCAATCATATTGCAGGGACTCAAAACTGGTGTCACATGTTGAAAGAAAATTTTCTAAAGGGTAGACAGCACCCTGTAATCTATGGGGAACAGCTTTGCTGTGCGTAAAAAAAATATTTTTTGACAAAAAAATTAACAACCTACCTAAGCCAGAATAAAAACATATAAATCTATTTCGGGGAGGAATGGGGTTCTATGAGATCTTCCCACAATTTTCTTCATATACGGGGAAAACCTTTCAGTTACAAGAGGGATTCAGGTTGTGTTTTTTTTTTTGGGGGGGGGGGGGGGGGTAGTATTTTCTGCTAGTTTTCCATAAAAAAATTCTTATTGAGGGATGTCCCCTGACCCCTCTAAATCTGCTCCTAATTATTTTCGGATATTACCTTTCATATTAATTAAAACGTTTTTATTGTTTCGTAACTTTTGGTGAAAGAGTATATTCGTGCTATACTTAGCATTGCTGAATACCGAAATTTTTCATGTAAAATTCATTTATAAAATATCCATGGTTACAACCTATTTACATAAATCTTCTAAATAATTTCTTTGAAGCATTTATGGCAAAAGAATGCATTTCGAGTATGTGTGTAAACTAACATAGTGACCGTATTCGTGTTTCTAAAGGTTCATTGTTCAAAAGTAGGTGATATTCTCAATTTATACTGTTTCCATGGCAACCAACACATATAGTATCCAAAATTTGATATTTTCCCCATTCAGTTTATTCAGTTAAGTTTATTTCCCTACATACATCTTATTTTAAACCAGTATAGAAGTTTCTACTTTACATTGTTCGTTTAACACTTAATCAGAGTGAACACAATACGTCCCAATAATGACCTCAATTTTTCAATTTTCCCATGTACCGTATAAATTTTTCTAAACTTTTTGTTATATATTCAGATCATATCATAGATTGATTAAAACTAAGTTTTGAAACTGTTGCAATTAGTTCACATTTTGATGGAAAATTTGATAATTTGACTAGACTATTATTGGCATTAGGTATATTGAGAATTGACAATTTCCTTTAGGTTCTTGGATGACCAGGGATATCAAGGCTCACGATTCTGTGGATTACGTCTATCAATTATCAGAGCGGGATGTAGAGATGTCCAAGTGGTACAGTATTGTCATCAGATCCATTTCTAACTCAGACAAGGTATCTCCTCCGACAGACATGTTCACTGGCAGACCCGTCAGAAGCTGTAAGTCTCATTTGTGTTGTACATGCAATTAAAAATATTTTCATTCATCAAACTTCAGATATACATTATAATTCTGTACACTGTACATACCAAATAATGGAATGGGTTCTAACCATAAGTTTATTGCTTTGTATCTCAACTATTTTTAACCTAATAAGTTACAAAATGTTAATACAATTATAGAAAACATTTTAAGTTGAGAAATATATTTATTTATCACAACAGTAGTGAACAAATGGACCATATTCCAGTTCTGAGCCTTATTAATGTGACGTTTCTCTATTTTGTAGATATGATTGCTGAGGAGATTATAGGCATAGCATTAGCAGCTGTTATTGGTCTCATTTTCTTTGCTGTTGGTGTGTTGTTTATCATTAAGTAAGTGAAATTTCCCTACTTTCATCTGTGCAGGATAGTAAATGATTGTATAAATCTACCTGTGAAACGTATTTCTAAATATGTGTATGATTTTTATTGTGTAAGTAAATAAATCATAATATTTTACCAGCGTGGGAGAGCAAGCATTTGTTGAATATTTAGAAGGGTAGCATTATATAAATATAGCCCTTTGATGAGGTCGATCCATAGATATATCGACTTTACAGAAAAGCATATCGACTGAGCACGAAGTGCGAGGTCGATATGCTTTTCTGTGAAGTCTATATATCTATGGATTGACCGAATCAAAGGGCTACATTTGTTATATTATTTTTTACAGAGGTTGGTAAAAAACAATTTGAAAAAAATGGGAACAAACCACAAGTTTTCTCTTTTAAACACTTAGAGACTAGAAATCAAAATAAATAAAGCTGTTTAATATATTAACTATGTTTTCGTTTTGAGTAATTTAGAGGATTTACTAATTGAAAATACTACAAATATACATCTTTTTGATTGTTTTGTATCAATTTTGACAAAGATATTCAATATGTTCTAATATTAAGTAGATCCTAATTCAGGCCATATTGTTACATCCTATCAGTTACAGAACATTACAAATTTAAATACAAGTTGAACTACATATATTTTTTTCAGAAACATCAAGTCATATACTGTATTAGCTATTAATAATTGTGAAATCACTACTACTGTATAAAGGGTTATTTTTGGCCCGTTTTATTTTCGCCCTTTCAGACTTGCAAACAATTTTGCCCTGTTTTAAATTCTCCCAGTCACAGTTTTGTTTAAGAAATTATACTGTATTCTTTAAATTCACCCCTTTTTAATTTCGCCCAATTGAGGTTAGGGCGAAAGGGGCGAAAATAAAAAGGGGGTGAATATTTCTCTGTATACAGTATTAATTTTTTGTTTTACAGAAAATTACGTCCATTTTAAGAAACGTCAAGTCGATATGCTTTTCTGATTCTATAAATAGTAACTCAAGTCTTTATGCTGTTATATACTTAATCATGTGACCAAGTTTAAGCCAATCAGAGGGCTTGAAATATATGATTAAAGTAATATATATAAATGAAATGTTCTTTTTTTTTTTTTTTACTTAGACACTGTTACCATGCTGTGAAGAGTGCTGTAAAACTAGATCCCATTCATCTTCCAACAGTTCAAACTGTAAGTTAGGTGCTATATAAATTGTATTCTATGATTTAAAAAAAAATTCAAACCTATGTATAGTAGTGAAAATTTGTATGAATGATCTATCCACAAAATAATTTTTAGTTCATGTGCTTGAATCATAGTAAAAGCCAATAAAATAAAAATTGTAATGGGTATCAAATACTTTATTTAATTTAGCATTTGCATAATATCTCAGATTTCTCAACATATGGATTAGACTTGTTACATTGTCCATGATGCATAGTATTAGATGATACATTTTTCATTTCAGAGTAACACAGCAGGAAGTGGTGTTTTGTCTGCTTACAAAGAAAACTCAACAGAGACTGAGCCCCCGAGTCCTATACAGATACCCCAATCTACCTCACCCCTCATCAAACAGGTAACATCACCCCACCACCACCTGACATATATATATTCTTTAGTCAAAGGTGGAAAAATCTATTTAAAAAAATCAATTGTTCAAAATATTAAAAAATCTCACTTCCTTTGCAGAATGGGGTCCCTTTCCAATTCCAGTACAGCATGGACAGTGGGAGAGGGAGCCTTCCAGTGGAGGATTTCCTGGACCATGATCTCAAACATCATCCAATTCCGGAGATTGCCACTCCAGATGGATCCGTACCAAAGGACCCAGTTCCATTTCTCTCTCTGTCCTCACCTCTATCTTCACCAAGTCAGGAAAGCTGCTTGAATGTGGAGGGAGTTGATAATGGCCTAAAAGCCAGCAGTTTGGAAGGAAGTGTAGAGTGGAACTCCTCACTTGCTCAATATAGAACAATTTGCCAAGAGTCTGATTCTTCATCGGATGATGAGACTAGTAGTGTGGCCAGCGAGATGCAAGAAGATGAAATTAAACCTTATATTAAAGCTGGCTCCCATAGTTCCTTGGACAATATGGACACCTTGCCTGGCTACCTGAATGATTGTGTCAAGTCAGGTTAGTTAAGCCATGTTGAGAACACTGCCAATGATATCCAAAGAAAAAAAATAAGTTGATGAATAACTGAAAGAATACACCAAAAAATCTTCTTTTGATTATAATACATCTATGAATACCTCATATTAGGTGATCTGTTAATCATCTTTTGTAATTTTACTTCTTTTATTTTAGTACTTTCCATTAATAACAAATTGTCAGAAAAATTTAATGAATTTTATCAGGCATGAACTGATCATTTGTCTAACATAAACATAACCCTCAAATAACTAGTTGACTGTCTGGTATAAACTGATTAACTCTGTAATGAACTGATTAACTGCCTTCTTTAACAGGGTCATCTGAATCTGATGGAGAAAGGCATGGAAAATGTTGCTCAACAACAAACAAATTACTAACACATTCCTCTCTAAATGTAACAAACTGTATCTGCTGTACAGAGCGAGAAAATGTTAGTCAGAACTTAACTAAGAAGACTTCTCTACAAAATAACTCACCAATGTTCGAAGCTCAAGTCATATCAAGTAGTATCCATCCTAACCCAGCATTTGATCAAGGAGAATTACCATCTAGTGGAATGATAAAGCTCCCTGCTCTAGAAATGTGTAACATTCTAATGACGGTTGAGAGCTCTTGTTCAATAGAGAAGAGACTGTGTGCTGATGAGGTGGACAATGTATCGGTGAATTCAACCGATTCCTCAGACTCTCAGATCTCGGCTAAAGACGTGGGCAGTGTTTTCACTTCCAGTGGGGATATAATGGCCAGTTCAGACTATTTACCAGTCGATTCTGTACAGTTTAGTTCGTCATGTTTTTCTCTCTATGATAGTAGCACTTATCTTTCTTGATTATGTTTGATATTTCAATGTTCGTCCAATTTTAAAGATGTCCAAAGTAAGGTTTTTTTTTTTCTTATGAGATTCCTTGTTAAACTATTTTAAGAGTACCAAGTAGTTTTTTGTGCAATTAGTTTTCCTTTGATTGTTATGTTGTTTTGTTGTAGTGTTAGATATTAAGGGTATGGTTTATGCTTAGGCTCATTGGAGCAAATTCCTGATTTATTCTGCTAATCTGATTATTTTGTCCTAGGTCTGATCAGCAAACCTGACAATATGTACCTCTAATAGTTTTATGATGGTCTGACCATTTACAAAGTACTTGTGTGACTTTTAATTTGTTTTAACTATAAAACAACTGTCTCAATATATTTGGCATACATCACAGATATGATACATATAATATATGTGTTTGTTGATTGATTGAAGTTTGCTGTAGTAATGGAATTCAGATCTGCTCAGATATTTTTTGTCTTTCCTGCTTTAACCACATGTACATGTTACACCTTTTATCTACCAGTGGTCAATATTGTCTTGATAAAATATTAAATTTTTTTTTCATGAAAATACTTTATATTTTTCCATCATTTATTCATCTTTTCACATACATTTAAATATTTTTCTTACAAGAAGTTTTCATTGTCATAAATGTAATTTACTCAGGTGAGCAATGTAACACATGGGTTCTTTTGTATGATATTATCTTTTGATGATACAGTTATAACTTTGACGCACATTTTGTTATTAATGTTTTCCCACTTTACTTTTTTGCCTTGAATAATGAGTAATACCAGGTTATGCTGGTCAGCAAACCAACCTCTTGGTAAGAAATATCTAAAACAGTTGATTGATATATGAATATTTAGTTCCCTTTGAATAAAATGGTTTTTTTTTTTAAATTTTTTTATGACAAGCAACAGTCAGCGTTATAAATTTATTGTTGATTGGTAAAGGGGTGCAATATCTCTTCAGGGAAATTTTTGTTTCTTTTGTTGAAGACTTGTTTACTGGTGCATAGTATGCCACTTATACATGTAATTCTAGTCATAAATAGGAGCTTTAAATTACTGGCAATTCATGTACTGTGTGTTCTCTAGTATTGTGTTCAGTTTTTAAATATCAGTCACAAATGATAATGGTACACTGTCTCATTTTAGAAAATGGATTTTTTTTCTATTATTACCCTCTCACAGTTGATAAATCCATAAGTGTGATTATTGTGCCATGTATTTTGATCTGTTTATAATGAGTTTATATGATACTAATATATTATATGTGATGAGTTTATATGATACTAATATTATTGTGGAACAGATATTACTTGTGTTTATTTCTGTTTATATATCAGGAAGAAAACATTTTGTTTCTGTAATCCTACATTGCGAACAAGGATACATTGTTAATAATTTCAATTGATTTTTTCTCTTTTGACAAAATTATTAACAACGTTGATTCTATTTTTTTATGCTTTTCATGCAATTCCTTTGTGTCTGAATTCATACATTCTGAAAAATGTCACATTGTTAAACACAAATTTCTTTTTACATTTCTTAAGAAATATTGGTCAGGTTTTATTAACTACCTCAATAACCATATCATACTCATTCCTCATTAATTCTTTTTAAATTTGTAATTCATGCAATTCATTTCATCATCGTATTTTATCCATATTAAAAATGGGTCAGATATTCAAATTATGAAAATAATATAATAGACAAATATCTCCTGCCCCCTCCCCACAAATAAACTTTAGGGGAGGGAGGTTTATTGAAATCATATGATCTGTTTGTCCAGGTCATATGAATTTTTGTGAGTGAAAAAAATATCATACTTATGTTTTTTCTTAAAATCCACATGAATTTTTATTTTATCATCTTCTATAAGAAAGTAATTGAATGTCTTAGAACTAAATCAGAATGCTACTCTTTCATTTTCTCTCTCAGTAACCATGAAAATTAATTTAGCAGCCAAACAAAATCAAAACTTTTGAAAACTTATGATGAGAATGCATGGTCACACCCAAATTCATAATTAAAAACATATCATATGCCTCAACAACAGAAGATTATATTGCTCAATTTGTCTTCCATTAGATCTTGTTATGTAGAATAATGACACATTCCAGTTGTACATATTCAAAAAAAGGTTTTTGTGACTGTGTTAAAAAAATGTTAATAAATAAAAAAAAAAATACCCAAATTTCATCTGGTTTGTTTTTCTGTTATTTTTACTGGTCTAACACCAGAAAAGCCATTGCCTTAGCAAGTTGTTGGTCATTTTTCATTTTCAAATTTTCAAAACCTTACTTATCCTATTGTTTTGGTAAATTTTCAATGAGACTTTGTACATGGTACCTTATTTATTGATAACTGATCCATTGATCAGTGAGGGTTCTTTATTGTGCCAATTCCTATTGTGACATGGGGCCTCAGTTTTTAAGATCTCATCCGAAGGATCCATCACTTCAAAGTGGCAAAGGAACAGTTGCTACCTATTTTTTATCAGCTTAGTTCAGTCGCAGTCATGACTGGAACACACACCCTTGCGATAAAGGAGCAAGCACTCCACTGACAGAGCTACTATGACAGCGTATTAAAAGGAAACTTTACTTTAGAGAATCTGTGTTTTAGGTCATCTTAGTCACTATTGCATCTGTTTTTCAAATGTCATATATTGTCCATCAGTCATAAACTTTATTTTTCAGCTTCCTATGAATTCCAAAACCAATTTTTATCAATTTTAGTATATATAGCATCTATGGATGAAGGGGAACATAAATAATGAATCCCCTCAAGAGCCCGAGGGTCAATACCACAAAAAAATAGTGCAGTTTCCATAACCTGACAAGCAGTCTGTTAATTATTAGCTCACCTGAGCCGAAGGCTCAAGTGAGCTTTTCTGATCAAAATTTGTCCGTTGTCTGTCGTCGTCGTCGTCGTCATCGTTGTTGTTGTTGTCGTCGTTGTCGTAAACTTTTCACATTTTCATCTTCTTCTCAAGAACCACTGGGCCAATTTCAACCAAACTTGGCACAAAGTATCCCTGGCTGAAGGGGATTCAAGTTTGTTCAAATGAAGGGCCACGCCCTTTTCCAAGGGGAGATAATAATGAATTAGAGAAAAATTAATGGCATTTTTAAAAAATCTTCTTCTCAAGAACCACTTGGCCAGGAAAGATGAAACTCATGTGGAATTATCCTCAGGTAGTGTAGATTCAAGTTTGTTTAAATCATGACCCCCAGGGGTACGGTGGGGCCAAAATGGCCGATCAAAGTTTTACATAGGAATATATAGGGAAAATCTTTAAAAATCTTCTTCTCAAGAACCATTGAGCCAGGAGAGATAAAACTCATGTGGAATCATCCTCAGGTAGTGTAGATTCAAATTTGTTCAGATCATGACTCCCGGGTCTAGGGTGGGGCCAAAATGGCCGACCAAAGTTTTACATAGGAATATATAGGGAAACCTTTCAAAATCTTCTTTTCAAGTACTTCAAAGCCATGATTAGTGATATTTATATAGAATCATCCTCAGGTAGTGTAGGTTCAAGTTTGTTCAAGTCATGACCCCCTGGGGGTTAAAATTCTAGCCCCCCCCCCCTTCAGTAAACTTTCAGTTCTGATCTGATATGTGCTTTTTCCTAACCGATGTGCTCAGGTGAGCGCTGTGGCCCCTGGGCCTCTTGTTTATGGGCTCTCATATCGCGACAAAAATGCTTTCTTGCTAGAAAATTTTGAGCAGCAACAGGTCCAAGAATTTAACTTTCCATCCAGAGTTCATACAAACAAGAACCACTCATATGATCTAGTACACATTTCTTAAAGTTCATAGCAATATGCAAGCCACCCATTCGTGGCCCAAGTCTTACCATATGGTGGAATTTATTTGTTTGTTCATGTTCTCAGCAACTACTCATCACAAATGATTGAAAATTAAGCCATTCTTTGTTGAGGCATGCCATATGGTGGGCTATATTTTTGTTTAAATCCAGTGTCATCTTATTGTTTATCTAAACACCTACTTGAAAACTTTAAACTTTTTCTACTTGAAAAAGACGTTAATGGTAATCTAACAACCAAGCTCTATGATAATCGTGATGACTTTTACTTTTCTATCGTCATCTTCCCTTACCTATGCAGCAATATACCTTCATCACCTGCATATGGAGTTTACATATCTCAGTTGATTCCATACGCAAGAGCATGGTCTACGTATGAACAATTTCTAAAACGAGGTAAATTATTGACAAACAAGTTGATGAAACAGTAATATCAGCAGTCTTGTTTAAAGTCATCTTTTCGTAAGTTATATGGTCGTTACAATGATCTTGGCAGTAAATACAATTTATCATTGAGTCAAATGCTGACTGACGTTTTTCATACTTATATATATTGTTAGTCCATTATTTATACACTGAATTAACGACGGATTTTTCAGTTATTTCCCGAACATGACAAGGAGCACACGGCGGGTGTGACCGTCAGAAGGGTAAGCTCACTCCTCCATGGCACCTGATCCCACCTCTGATGTTTCGGAGGTCCGTGTTTGCTCTGCTATTATTTTGTAATGTTTTATGGACCTTTGATCTTGAATACTGTTCGTTATCTCCATATGTTTCACTGCATCTGTCCGTACCATTCATACTAAATTTCATCGCAGTTTTCTCAGCAACTACTCATTGGAGATGATTGAAATTTTAGCACATACTTTGTTGAGGCAAGTCATAAGGTGGGATTCATTTTTGTATAAATCTGAAATCAACTTCCTATGTAACCGTGCATCTGCCCGTTACGCAACTTTTGTATATTAACACGATTAGTGAACATTCACATCAGAACAGGGATATTACTAGTGTGCATTGGCTCACAGACTTCTTGTTTTTTACTCCTTCAATATTTTGTTTTTAATACCTTTTTAAGGTTTAATCGGTTAATCAATGCAAAATGTAACAAATGAAATTTAATCCTTCACTATATAGTTAATCGAAGTTTTCCGGTTATTAACAACTCTGGCTGAAGTTTGGGGGTAAATGTGCCTGTTAAATGTACATATATGAACTTACGGCTTCCTTATTGATTGTTTTCAGCAGAGAATACGCGGAAATTCGCCCACGCACCCATTCCCTCAAGAAATTACTGAAATGAGAGTTATTTAATGAATTGTTGTTTTTTTTTATCTCGTAATAATTTTAGAAAGTAAGAACTGAAATTTTTTTTAAAGAAGTACTTTTCAGGTAGAAATCATACTAGGAGACCCAACATTTTTTGCCGCGGCTGCTGATCTCCAATATTTGTCGATGAACCGACCTCTGTCTTGACTGCCGATTCTTAGGGTGAGCAGATGTGTAGCCAGCTCTCTTTTTCAGAGGTGATGATTCATGGGCTTAAAAGTAGCAAAAGGTTAAGTCTTTCCAGCATAACTGGATTCTTGGAGTGAAAGGAAATAAAGGAATATATTTTAATTATTTTTGTTATTGTTTTGGGCTTAACAGATTATTGTTTCCAAACCAGTAACAGCATCAGTTTCTTTTATCTTAAATACTAAGATTTTGCTACCGAAACGTACTATTTGCTATTGTTGGTTATACATTTCTTTGCTTATTACTCAAGCCCCTAAAACGATGCTAGGTCATCGATTTGCTCAATTTAAAAATACGAAAATATATTAATCTGTAGAGAAAAAAATTTCTAGAAACAAAAATGAAGCTTATCTTTAAAATGTCTGTATATTCAAAGATATTAAGTGTAAAATATATATATGTCGGATTCTATTCTATGGCGAATGAACAATGAGTGAAGCTCCGCAGCCGCAACAGTTTCTATACAGAGATTTCGCGCTTTACGAAGGAATCTCAGGTAACTTTTACAGTCGCAGACAAAGCATCATTGGACGAGTCCACTGGTTACTCTGAAAGGTGACGCAGGTTACCCCATTGTTAACAAATCAACAATGCATGGCCAGAAAATGTATGGTTGTGCCCCCGAAACTGAAATTGCTTCCCACGGGCCTCCAAATGATGTGCACTTTGAGTGATAGTAATATAATAGCACAAAATAAATGTTAAATTCTTCCTCATACGTATTTTTTTTTTCCATACGTTTTTTTTATTTAATAAAATCGGCCAAAATTTTCAGCTTTAGTTAGTAACGGAACCTATATAACTTTTTTTTTTGGATTCGTACGGAAGATTCTGTCAGTTTATGTATTGGACATGTCGCATAGCTAGATCAACCCTTAGTCACGTGGAGTTTTTTGAGCCTGGAGCCCCCCCCCCCCTCCCCCTTCCCCCATCAACTTTGAAAAGCTTTGCAAATGCTTGTGACAATCTATTCGGATTGCATATTGCTCCATTAAATATTCCTGAAAATAAGTAATTAATGTAAATTCATTTTCAAACGTAGCACGATAAATTATATTTCTTCTAAATTTAATATACGAGTTTTGTTTCCTAATACATGCATTTCGTTCATCAGAAGATTAACTGTGCTCAATAGCCCTCATCTGAATATGTATTACCATTTTAGGATATTAATGGCACTTCCTAGCTGACTTTCTACAGCTTGAGTATCTCTGACGTTTTGTCAGTATATACTTAGTTCTTGTACAGGTTGATCACTTACAGACAATTAACCCGTAGGCCTAAGCATATTTATTTAACAAATTTAATCTTTATTATAGGAACTTAATTATCCAGTAAAAACTCCATGTTTATTCGTGTACACAAGACATTTCTCTCTCGAGTGATGTAAAAGGAAATGGTTACATATTAATATATACATTTTTCCAATTTTAAAACGTTAAGGACCCTTCTGCATTTAGCAGACATTTTTAGCTTACCTGAGCCGAAGGCTCATGTGAGCTTTTCTGATCACATTTTGTCTGTCGTCCGTCCGTCTCTAAACTTTTCACATTTTCGACTTCTTCTCAATAACCACTTGGCCAATTTTGACCAAACTTTGTACAAAGCATTCTTGGGTAAAAGAAAATTTAAATTGTTAAAATGAAGGGCCAAGTCCCCACACAAGGGGAGATAATCAAGAAAAGACAAAAATAGGGAGCGGTCATTAAAAAATCTTCTGAAGAACCACTGGGCCAGAAAAGCTGAAACATAGGTGGAAGCATCCTGGGGTAGTTTAGATTCTAAATTGTTCAAATCATGACCCTTTCGAAAAGGGCGGGGCCACAATAGAGAATCCAAGT